CGCGGGGGGGCCCAAGGCCCACGTCCGGCACCTCGGGCCGGCCCCGCCTTCGCCCGCCGCCGCACCTCGGCCGCGCCGGGCCTCCAGCCAAGACTGCCGCGGCGCCAAGCCTAGCTCGCGAGAGGCCAACGCCGAGAACTGAGGTTGCTCGCCTTCGCCTTTGCCCGGCAAACACGCACGCGCTACTCCGGGACAGCGGGTGGGCAAACGATGACCGGGGGGGGCACATGCGAGGGAATTTGGGAGGTGGGTCAGCTCACGTTGACATTGGACTACTATCTCTCAAAAAAGGCACTATTGATTTGACTTCTAAATGCAGCTTATTCAATTATTGTTTTGTTTCTTGTAAATAATGAAAGAAATATTGCTCATAAAAGGAGGTGGCGGCCCTCACGTCGGTACTAGCGGTACACACACACACACACACACGCGCACGGCAGCAGCAACAGCACATCCAAAGAGAGCATGCGACAATGCTCACGGGCATCCCGTACTCTACGCGCCGTGTTTTCCAGGCATGGGCCTCCAGGCCTTTGTGGAGGCCTTCTTGTACCTGGCGGCGCGCAGGTTCAAATCACAGACACCCCGGGAGCAGGCGGCGTCCCTCCTGGATCTGTGCGAGGCCCAGCTGGAGTCGCCGACGCCGGGCCCCGAGGAGCGCCGCTCACTGAGTTGCGGGCGGGCGGCTTCCCGCAGTGGCGCGGGGGGGCCCAAGGCCCACGTCCGGCACCTCGGGCCGGCCCCGCCAATGCAGCTTATTCAATTATTGTTTTGTTTCTTGTAAATAATGAAAGAAATATTGCTCATAAAAGGAGGCGGCGGCCCTCACGTCGGTACTCGCGGTCACTTCACTTTGCGATGCCAACACAAATTTACCGACTATCGTATTTATTTGCATATGAACCTTGATGGTGGTTTGCTGAAATGATTTGACTTCCGGTTGGGGGCCACACGACGACTTCCGATTGTCAAATAAAGACAAATCATATCCGGTTCATTCAACGGGTGTGTATTGACTGGACGACTTCATATATTAGGAAATAGTTCAACTTTTAATCTGAATGAAGTTTTGCTTAAGAGAAAGAAAAAATCCCCATCAATCTTTTTTTTTTTTTTTTTAAAAGACAAATATATCGTATTTCATTTTGTGTCGGAAAAGAGGGGGCACGCGGCGATCTTAATATATAGCTAAATAAAACTTTAATCATAGTTGTTGTTGCAAATGTACATCCATTGCACGGCCACACTTGGACAACACAAGTTTCTCTGTACATTATTGTTTTGCCGCCAAAAGGGAAAACAAACAAACAAACACCAACCAAAACAACCAACCAAAAGAGCCTCATCAACAGCACGGAATTCAACAAATAGCGATACTTTCAACATAATTACAAAAAGTCTTTTGGACAAGTTCATAGAAAACATACAACATTTCGAGCCGATTCATCTCGGAGCGCCTCCTGACTGTAAACTCGGCGGTGTTAGCTTAGCTTTGCAAAGCAGGTGCTCAACAAGCTCCTGTCAAGTTAAAACGTCTCTCATCTGGGGGAGCAGCATCGCACGCATCAACACAACTCTCAGACTTTTTTTGTTTTCCTTGCTCGAGAGACTTTGCAACTTCTTGGCCACCAAGCTAAAAAGTCAAAAAGTGATCAGGACACACCAAAATCCCTGGAAGTACACGTTAAAAAAAAAGTACATTTAACAGAAATAAGTTAACACAAAATGGATAAAAGCTGTTGATCACTAATTGTCAATTCCCATATCTTCACACGAGGCAAATGAAACAAAAGCAGTTGGTTCCCAAAATACAAGGGGTTACGTTGAAAAAAAAACAAATCAAAACAATGGATGTTGTGGAGAGCGAGTGGAATTTGGTATTCTGGGTGCTTTAAAAATAGATTGCCTTCATTATTCTATTGGACAAATGAACATAAAGGCTTATTGCCGACCATAATCTGGCAGCAAAAGTGTTTTAGTAGGTTGAAAAAAATATTCACAATAAACAAAATCAAGTTATGTAAAAAAAAAAAACAACTAAATTCTAGTACATGTGTATCAAAATAAACAAGCCTGGTCGCAAACTCCAAGCCTCCTGACGCAGAAAAAAATTGAGTTATTTTTGGAGGGAGATTGGGGGGGGGGAGACATCAGAAGTATTAATTAAATACATAAAACAAAAAAGCCAGCAAAGTCACTGGTCATTAAGGCCTTAAATTCTGGGATGGAACAAAACACAAATTTAAGAAAAATGTTTTTGGGACAATAAAAAAAAAAAAAATTGCCGTCTTCGGCAAATAATACAAAAAGTCGGCAATCTTGGGCAATTAATTATCTTAAAGTTTTGGTGTCATCTCACGATAACTCTGAACTAATGTAACAAAATGAATAATGAATGTGGCTTAAAAAGCTGCAGAGTCTCTGGGCTTGATATTGATGTGGCATATTTGGATGTTTTACAAACGACAACTGCAGTCCTTGCGCTCCCTTTTCTTTAGTTAGCAAATCAACAAAAAAAAGCCAAAAGAAGCTTACACCAGCCACTTGACGTAAAAGTGCATAGACGTTTGAGCCATGAGAAAGCCACGATTGTGCTCGCCAATCTCGGTCTCAAAAATGTGTGACCCCCGCCCACACCGAAAGCCCCCTGCCCGCCTCCCACCAAAAACTGGTCTCGTTTTGGCTAGCAATAGCAGCATACTGCTAGCGGCGCTCGTTTGTATTTACAACACCCGGGATGACGATACGGCAACATTTGAGCGCGGGCTAACACTGAACACCAACAAAAGTGCAAACAAGTTTCGGTCCAAATTTGTGTCGCCGTCTTTTATTTAATCCACGCTTGAACATTTTTCCCTTGCCGTCAGTAACTAGTGATTCTTCAGCGACGATCCAAGTTCACGTCATTCGTCCCCAAATTGTTCTGGACGCCACTTCAGATGCATTCCCTCCACTCGTATGCGTCTTCAACCAGCCGTTGGCGCTCCCAGGGGCCAACAAGCAACCGCCGCCAAAGTGGTTGCCAGATTTGAGAGGGGCGACGGATGGAGGACGAGGCCGCATTCGGGAGTTCCGCACTTGCGCTCGTTTCTCACAGAATCCGCCGTCTTTCGGTCGGGTTTGTTGATTTTAGAAGGTCTCAAAGTACAAATTGAAGAGTGGCGGGCCATCGGGCCGTGTCAGGCGTTTGGCGTTCGGGATTTGGGCTAAGAGGCCGAATGGGCTTGAGAGAATCCGTCTTCGGGTAGAAGAGAGTTGTTGGGATTTGGCACGGGCTAAAAAGAGATGATCTCGGCATACCAGGATCAGTATTGAGGTCTGGATGTGGTTTTGGTTTTTGGGAGGAGACGCAAATATCGGCTGCGATTCGAGGGCGCGCCGATCAACAAGGATCGGACACGATTCGGGATCAAGGGTGTGCCCGAAGGGAGCCGAGATGAGGTTGGCTTTGATTTAGGTTTCGGGTGAAGGCGGTGGGTAGGGTTGCGGGTTTCCAGTCAGACCCGGAAGGTCACTGCGCTTGACCCAAGACAGCGATTGCATTTTGGGATTTTTTTTCAAGCCTGGTCAAGGGTCGGCCCGCGTCGGAGGCTTGGTGTTTCACAAGGGCTCCGGGTCGGTTAGATTAGGTCGGGTTGGGTTTGGGAGTTGGCCGTGGCCTTTTAGGTGGACCCCGGAACGAAGATTCGGCTTTGGAAGTCCAAGTTGGCTCAAGGGTAGGATTGACTCAGGTGTGGCCATTCGGAGGTGACCGTGGTAAGATCGACGAGGTGAGTTTGGCAGGGTCGGTTTCGGGAACAGCATCGGACCCGGAAAGAAGACGACCGCTCGGTCCAAGTCCCAGTTTGGGAGCTCCGAGGGGCGGAGGCTTTGCATTTCGGGGAGCCCAGAGAAGGGCGAGCAGCGTGTGCTTTGGGGTCAGGGAGCGCAGCGGTCGCGTTGGGCTTTGAGGTTGAGCTGGCTTTGAAGATTCCGCACAACGAGCTCACAGTTTGCATTTCCTCGTCGGCTCGCCGGGAGGAAGGCGGAGCGTCGGCTTCGCCGGGAAATCGAAGCTCGGCCGACGGTTCGGAGGCTCGGTGGTCCGAGTTCACGGCATGAGGTTGTCGGGCCGAGATCCGACAACGGAGAAGTCTGTGCTTGAGGCGGTCACATCTTTGGACCCGAACGAATCAGCAGACGGGTCGGGAACGGTCCCTTCCTCGCTGGGCTGGCCAGTCCAGTGTATAGCGACGTGCGGCCGCGCTCGCCTTCACTCATCCTTTTTAGAAGCGGCAAAATAAAACTGCGAAATACAAGTCTGCTGTTACCCTCGACATGATCAAATATAGCTGCGTGCGCCCGCGTGTGCGACGACTCGAAGCCTCCAAGAAGAAAACGCATACATCTGTCTTCAATTGCATCAATATAGTTTCACGTAAATCTCATGGACCGACATCTTACAGATACAAGCTCGAGCCTTTACAGATCCACAGTACATGTGTGCCTCTGTGTGTGTGTGTGTATAGATAAGATATCCATCGGTCTGTCTCCGTGTATTTGTGCCTTTGTTTTTCTTTCGGAAACTTTTTTTTTTGCAGGAACAGGGAGCTGTGGAAGGAAGTCGGCATCCTCCTCCTAAGGCATCGCATGTACCGGCCGGCGTTCACAAAGCGCACTGCCGGGGAGGGTCCGAGCGGGGCGCCAAGCGGGGCGGGGGGGCGAGGCCCGAAGACGAGCTCGCTTCCCACGCCACGCGCAAACCTCAGCGTTTCCAAGCTCCCGCCTGCTTCTTTGCCAAGTCGGCGTCCACAAAGACGTAGTGGTTGGGCCCCGGTCGTC